GACATTTACACAAGAGAGTTTAGTTCCTTCAATCATGAGCACCAATTTCCGGATATGTCTTTCAAATCTCATGTACTGGATGAGGCATCTGAGAGACTCCATGGCATTCACTTGAGACCTCATCACAAGTATAATTTATACGAAGAATCATCGGTGGAGAATGGAGCTCTTACCTTTTGATTTCAAGGAGTCAAGTCAGACAAAAAGACTTTAAAAAACGTGCTAGTTGGGAGGCAACCCAACAACTGGGTTTGCATATCTTTTCCTTTCTCTTTTTGAATAATTGCGTAGATGATGATTGATAGTACTTTACCCTCGCCTGGCCTTGTCTTTGGATGTTTGATTGATTTAGATGAATGATTAAATTTAAGAAGTAGGTGAAAACATGGTGTTTGTGTTTAGGGCAAAGATCGTGGTTGTCACACCAGAGATTGCGGTCGCGATCTCGGGACAACAGCCCGCGATCTTGCCCGTGCTTATTTAAGGGAAAGATCCACATTGTATCCATGTGTAGTCTCTTCATATAATCTTTTAGATCTAACTACCATTTTCTTCAACCCTCTTAGCTTGTTGAGCTTTCCTTCTCTACTCCAATCTCCAACATCTTTTGAGAAGTATTTTTAATTTTTTATTGGATTTCCAACATGTCACCTAGAAACATAAGGTACACTCTTTCATTTCTCCATATTTTAACTACCTTGTTTTGCTCAATATGTGTTGAATTCTTTGAGAACTTGAAACACTCATCTTCATATCGGCAAGGCTTTTTGATGCCATTAGATTGTTTTCGTTGCTTTATTGATCTTGCGTTGCATTTTGGGAGACCTTGGTGGGATAATTTCATGTAGTTCTTGAGTCTTCAAAGACCGCCCACCAAGTGTTCATAGAAATTTCCCAACTATATAGTCTTCATTTTCTTCAATCCTACTCATTGAGCATTAACTTCCATTCAATTGTTAACTCTTGTTTACTTGATTTTATGTTGGTTGAGGAGATCCTAGCATTATTCCTCATCATTGAACTCCATCTCCATCTAAGCCCTCTCTTTTGCCCAAGCCTTAGTCTCACTCAAGTGTGTGTGTGTAGGGGGGGGGGGGGACATAGAGAGTTTATTAGAGTTCTTTGAATGCTCTTTTTATGGTATGTGATGTTTGGATTGATGGTTTGTGAATTTTGTAACACTTGTTTTGAAAGATAATTTACAAGACTAAGGGAATGACCCATGGAGAGAGTTCTTCTAATATGGGGCGTTCTCAAACTTCTCATCCTTTCTTAGGTCATCGGAAGAAGAAAAGTAAATCCGGGTAAAAAGGAAGTATTTGTTGAGGAACCACATCCACCATCATTCCCTCCCCATCTACCAAGGGAAATCCATCAAGATAAAGAAGCCAATGTTGGATGCAACATAGAGCATATCACTCACTATTATTTGGACAATGTCCCCAAGCAATTTAAGACCGAACTTTTGTGGCTTCAAGGACTTCCTCTAGGCGATAGTACATGTCTCAATTGGATACTCTTCGCACAGCTTGGGATCGAGGATGCGATCCGATCCAATATCCACTTAATAAAACATCTACCGGGTACTTGTTCTGGTTTCATTAGCACTCTTACCATTCAAGATATGAGAGGTGCCGCCGACCTTGAAGACATTCCAACTAGGAGGAGAACATCGCCAACTGTCATTCCGGTAATGTTTAATTATCACTTTATTTTTGTTTTACTTTTCCTGCTTAAAATATTCGAGTACTAGTAGTAATCATACTTATATTATCTACTTATCCTAACTATAACTCTTAATCGTCTTTCCCTCTTTCTTATGCGCTTTATCGTTGTGAAAACCACCAGGAAGACAAAGACCAACTTGTGTACCTTCACCAACCCACAACCCAACCTCGGGTAACCTTTATGATCTTCTCTTTTAAATCTACCACATTGAGGACAATGTGTTGCTCAAGTGTGTGTGTGTGTGTGTGTGTGGGGGGGGGGGGGGGGTGAATGCTTGAATGATTATCATGATCGATTGAGCCATGAATTGCTAGTATCCTCCCTTGTTTATGAATGTAAGATGTTAATGAATGCTTATGGGAGTGAATGCTAGTGATTGTGTGTATGTTTGTGGTGTTGAGTGGTCTGATGATAGTGTTTTGTAACCTTGATTACATTACCCAAAAAAATTCAAATTTGAGGGTTCCAAAGCACCTTGTTTCTTGTAACCCCCTACTCAATATGCTTTCAATTGATAGATGATTGATGTGTTGTGCTCGCTAGGGAGTAGTTGCATGATTAGAGTACCAGCGTATGTGGGATTTTACTCTCTTCTTCCTCTTTGGTGAGTTGGTAATGTTTGCTATTTTAGGAAGAATGTGTGCGGGATTCTTCATTATTTTTGAACTCGGAACTTTTACAAATGTGTGGAGTGCAGGCTGGGAAGTGGTGCTCGGGCTAAGACGAATCCGCCCATCAACTTCCCCACATGTGACCTTGAAAGGGAAGGAAATGATCCATTCGCTCTTGGTCATGAGGGAGATATGCTTATTTGATAAAGAGTTTGCAAAAGTTTGATGCAATGCACGTCAACATTGAAAAGGAGACCAATAAACGATAACTCCTAAATCGAAAAAAAGAACAAAGAGCACCTTCCAGAGTTTTTGTGCTTAATTGTTGATTGAGAAGTCCTCCGGTAGGCCGGTACACACTGTGAATGTTCGTTCTAAGGTAGTAAGTATGGTCCTCTCCCAAGAGTTTGTGCGTGCACAGTAAGATGATAGTAATATTCATTCATCTCTATCTACTCTTCTTTATGCAAAGAAGATTTAGAGTGCATCCCACTTTGATTTATCTATCAAGTTGCATTGGTTACCGCTGTTCGCTTGGGAACAAGCAAAAACCTAATTGTGGGGGAGTTTGATAACACCCAAATTGGTGTTATTTACCCTTCATATATAGGTTTGTTTCGTGCTAATTCATGTGCACAATCGTTAGAATAGCGTCAATTGCACCCCTATTCCATTACTATTTGATTATGATGTGATTTTAGGGTGATTTAGACAATACATTCGAATTAGGTACGAAAAGGGGCACAAGTGTAGCTGATAATGTAACATCCCGATCTGGCTAAACCCATATTTTGGTCTCTAGAAATTACGCGATTAAAATCGAGTGTTTCGATAGAACTCGACGAAGATCGAATATCGATCAATAGAATATATATTCATTATTTTATACATTCAAAATATAAAAGCCAGAAACGCCTCTGTACTGTAGACGTAGAGATCTTTACACTGCTCATTTAGACTCAAATTTCTTGTTCACACCTCTCTAATTGGTTGTTGAGCTGAGGTGGACCCTTCGTGTCTTTGGGAGCTTGGTAGGTGATCTTCGACGTGCAGGTGGAGCTCTGGTCTGATTCCGATGGCTAGTCTTATTTGGATTGTGTTTGGTTGCTCTGTTTTAGTTTTTTTTGGGTTGCTGCAGATTGGAGCTCGGTTTCAGTCGCGTTGGTCACAGGAAGGCTTTCCAGCATCTGTGATTTCTGTGTGATTTGATGGCGGGTCAGAGACTTTTCTTTGAGGGGCTGGGAGGTTGCTTCCATTTTTTATTGACGACAACAATGATTGACAGGGTGGCAGTGAGCTTGCTTTTTTGAGTTTTTCCCTTCTAGGTTAAGGGTGAGTTTTTACAGTTCCCCTTCGAAATCCGAAAAGCTCTGTTCAGAGGGTTCATCCTTGGTTGGCAGGCTGCCACGACACCAACTATCCGTCCCAGACTCCCATATCTTCTCCACTAACTCACCATAGAAGTGGAGAAGCCTAGGAGTCCTTGCCTATATCTTCCTCTCCCTACCTCTCTCCTCTCATCTCCACCATGGTGAGGAACAACCCACAACCTCCCGCTCTCTCTTATACATTTTCTGCGTTGGAGTAAGAAGCAATCAAGAGATGGACATGGAGAGAAATCGGAAGCTCCAGATTCTTTCTAGATCGACCGTACTAAGTGTCGTCCGTCCTTCTAATCCTTAATCCAATAGTTCAAGATGTGCAAGGGCAAATAAGAGAGCTCCCACACTGGATTGTCCCCCTAATCCGCTGACGTCAGCCTTTTTTTGAAAAAGAAAGAAATTGGTGGGGAGAGAAATTAGCCACCCTCCCCGCCGAACCTTTCGTCTCCCTGGTTGTTTGTTCCGCCCCCAGAATCCCTATTCCTCCGTCTTCTCCAAACCCCACAAAACTCCCCTTCTACGGTCCCCGATAGTTTTTGGCAGCGGGTCTTGGTAGTTTCGCGTCCGGGGAATACTTTGTTGGTCGGGGCAAAGGTAAGGTAATTCCTATATGGTCAAAAACTTTTTGCTTGGTTATTTGTGGTCGGTCTCCATTGATCCTTGGTTTCCCTAACTGATTCGTCGGTGTTGTCTCTCCTTCCCACTTCGCCTTTTGTTTTGAAATTCTGGTTTGCTAACCTCGTTTTGATGTCCTTCTTTTTAATGGCGTAGGCGAACCTCCTTCTACCGTTCTTCCTTTCTTCCTTCGTGAAGACAATAAACGGTGAGCTTTCTTTCCCCTTCTGGTTTTGTTTTCCGGATTCAACGTTGGAGTAAGCCATATGCATCCCTGTCTTTGTTGTTTGTTGTTTTGGTTTGTTGTTGGTATAATCCACTTATAGTATTAAGAATAGTACCAATGCAGAGGTAGTTGTGGTACTGGTACCACTTTGATTCGTTTTGGTATGATTTTCTAGTACTTTTTTTTTGTACCAGTACCACTAATTGTCCCAATATGTAGAAGTAGTACTGGTGTTTTGTTTGTTGTTGGTATAATCTATCGGTACTATTAAGATTAGTACTTATGCTAGAGGTAGTTGTGGTATTGGTACCAGTTAGATTCGTTTGTGGTATGATTTTATGGTACTCTTCTTCTGGTACCAGTACCACTGATTTGGTACCACTAAATGTCCCAATATGTAGAAGTGATACTGGGGTTTTTTTTTGGTACTTTCTATTGGTACCACTAATTGTCCCAATATGTAGAAGTGGTACTGGTTTTTTCTATTGGTACCACTAATTGTCCCAATATATAGAAGTAGTACTGGTGTTTTCTTTTGGTATGATTTTCAGGTACTTTTCTATTGGACCAATAGTGGTAGTATTGTACCAGTAGCTTTGTACATTGCTAGTAGTACTTCTAGTTATACCATTCTACTTGTCTTGTTGCAGCAATGGCTAGAACAAAGATCCCAGCTATGGCATCCCTTGTAACACAACAATCTGATGCAGGAATGGCCAAAACAAAGATACCAGCTACAACATCTGCGAAAAATAAACAACCTGTTGGTTATGTTTCTCAGCAAGTAGTAGTCCGCTTGGGGGACTCCCGTGATTATAATGCTAGGCCTAGTAGGAAACGACCACGCGATGAGGTAGCCAAGAGTTCCAGGAAGGAGAAGAAGCAACGGAATGTTCCAGGAAGGAGAAGAAGCAACGGACAGTGTGAGGACAACCTTCACTGTTAACCGGAATAGGAGCTATAGCAATGGAAATCGGCATGTCCTGTTGGTGTGGTTCCTTGATAGGACGGTAGCCAACTTGCAACTAACTGTAGGCAACTTGCAGCTTGCATCAGGTCTGCTCAAATGGTCCAGAAAGCTATGAGTAATTTGAAACTTGAGGAAAGGAATGGTAAAGCTACGGATTTGCACGAGGCACTACTACGTGGATATACCCAGGTGTCACAACAGTAGTAAGAAGATTGGTTCATGTACGTATGTAATTATGAACAAGTTTGTTGTGGTGTTTGTTTGCTTTAATTTGGTCTTGGACAAAATACTGTTCCTTACATTGGCACAATGGTTTTTTTGTTGGATTGTGAGAATTATGTACCTTATTACTAGTTATTTTAACTACAAATTTGGGACTTGTGATTCTAGATATAACCCTTCATTGTACCAATTATCTATTACTGGTACCAGTTTACCTATACCAGTACCAAATCAATTGGTTCCTTACATTGGTACCAGTTTACCGGTTCCAGTACCAAATCAATGTAACTGGTACCAACGCAAGTTTACTGGTATACTCTTGATTGATGTACTAGTACCACTGTTGGACAAACACATCTGTAAAACAAACTTATTTGAGGATGTGAAAAATAAAACAAAACTCATCCGTAAAACGAACTTCTCTTAGGAACAGCTCTACTCAAAATGGTCCAGAAAGCCATTGCAGACCCAAGTAATTTGCAACTTGAGGAACACGCTGTAAAGCTACTGATATGCACGAGGCACTACTACATGTATATAACAAGGTGTCACAACAGTTGTGGGAAGCTTGTTTCATGTACGTTTGCAATTATGGACAAGTTGTTTTTGTTTGTTTTAATTTGTTCTTGGACAAATTACTGTTCCTTACATTGGCACAATTGTTTTTGTTTTTTTGGAACTTGTGGTTTTAGAGATAACCCTTCACTAGTACTCGTTTCCCTATAACTAGTACCAGTTACCCATTACTAGTACAAAATTAATATTACTGGTAAAACTTCATTGAGGTACTAGTACCACTGTCGGATGTTTCCCAACTACTTAACATGTTTCTCTAATGGTGCATAACACATGTGAAAATAAAATAAAAACTCATCCTTAGACATCAAATGTTTTGGTCAGAAGCAAATTATCCGTCTCTTCTGATAGGTTGCCACGTTCTGTAAAACAAGTGAAATGAAACATTGATTCGGGCTCAAATGTACACATTTTATCCCTCATTTCTGTTTCGTTTAGCTTAGTATTTCATCATTCCTCGACATATTTCACGTTAGGTTGTGCTTGTTTTGATACATTTCAGGTCCTAGCACATGTGGAAGGGTCGAGGACGAGTTTTTGGATAATTGGAGGTCACTATTTGGATGCAATTGTCCAGGAAACAGTCGCAGTTCACGGTCGGACAAGGCAGTTCACGGTCTTCTAAGACCGTGAATAGGAGGCATGGGTCGTGAACATCAAGGCGTCCATGGCCAAATCCAAAGTTACTGACGCTAGGCAAGTTCACGGTCTCTAAGACGGTAAATGTGGCCATTGACCGTGAACCCAGGAGAGTGAAGCGGTGCGTTTTGAATGACACTGAGTTTACGGACGCGTTTAGGTGTTCACGGTCGTGAACTGACCAACGCGTCCTTGAACTGATCACTTTCGGGCAAATATGAAGACAACAGCGGGGAGAGAGAAATGAGAGCTGGTTTTTGGAGAAGAATTGGTTTCTTTCTCTAGGGTTTGCCCAAAAACACCAAAGGGGAGTTTTAGTGAGAGAGAGAGTTCTAGAGTGATCTTGGAGCATCATTGGAGGCTTGGGTGGACATTCAAGCCTAGACGAAGAAGAAGAAGATCTTGAGCTCAAATTTGTAATCCCTCCCTCTCTCTCTCTAGAAACTCACCCTTTTTCTTGGGTCTTGTAGATCTCTAACTAATACTTTGTAGTTACTTGTTTAGAATGAATGATTGTCATTGGATATTGTTTAATTCAATGATTGAGGTATTATTCATGTTGATTGTGCATGCTTCTGCTTAGCAACCTAAGGGTTGTGCATGTTTTGTGCTTAGCATCCTTAGGTTTGTGCATTTTGGTGCTTAGAAACCTAAGCATTGTGCATAATTGTGCTTAGCATCCTTAGGTTTGTGCATATTGGTGCTAGCAATCTAATTAGCAACCTAATTAGCCCATCTAGCAATCCTGGTGCCAATACAGTTGGAATGGTGCCATTTTAGCGGTACTTATACTAAATCTGTGGTACTGGTGCCATTTTTCACACAACAATATTTGTACTAATAGTAAAATGGTACAAATGCAAAATAAGTCGTAACGGCACAGGTAAACCCTACCGCCAATGTTGCCGTCCACGCCGTCGTCGTCATCAACGCGATCGCCGGAATACGGCACGAACTCGTCGTTGTTCTCCATGTCGAGTCCACCTTGGAGTTTTCTGCATTTTCGTACCATTTAGGATGATCTTCGTTCAACGCCTCCTCCACGTCCAGAACGTCGTCAATGTCCACCATGCACACTTCAAAGCCATTCACCGCCGGATCGTCTGCTCAACATTGTAGTTGTATATATCATCGTCGTTAATTGTCAGTGGGACATTGAGGTCGAACCCAAATATACATGTACATTCGACTCCCCTCCCCCCTTCACTGTCGTCGTTGCTAATATAGTCGTCCATGGTGGTGGCGGCCGTCGCGTGGCTGGTATCTTCCGTAGCCAGATGAGGGGTCTGGTTTGCTGACGGAGAAGCTAGAAATGGAAGGGAAAGAGTCTCGTCTGTTCCGCTCCCCAAATCTCGTCCCACCAATCACGTTTCTGGATTCTCTCCATGCAATTAATTTTAAATTTAAATTATTAGAATATTGTGCTTACTAAAATTCCCTTCTTGTGATCCTAGCCACTAGATGAAGAAGGGGAACAGACGACATTGAGGGGGAAAGCGAGATTGACAACCCCCTTAGGAGTTTTCATTGTAGCCGCCCCCTTATTCTTAAGGTGATGTTCCTCTTCTGATGAATTTATTTTTCACCATGTTCCTAAATGAGTTATTTCTCTCTCTAAGGGTTTCTTTGATTTCTTTCTCAAATATGGCAGTTGATGACGAGAGAATCGGGTTGCAAAAAACAAAGATCTCACGTAATGATCCACGGGGTGGCGATACGCGTGGGATGGCAGATAAGATCACCCAAAAACTGAACCATGGGGTTGCCAGTTTCCTCCATTACTTGATGGATTTCTTAGTGTTCTGTTTATTTCCTCACATCTTACTTTATTCGATGTATTTTCAGAAAGTTGCTGGTAATCTTTGGTAATAAAATCCAGTCACCGAACCTGCGATGGAGATTTGTGTGTGCTGAGGCTCCCACAACATTTTTTGGCTTTTCTCCACCGCACAAGCAAAGGTAGTATATTCCTTCATTATCAGTTTCTTTCATCCGGATTGGAAGCACAAAGGAAGATTCAATTTGCAGAATTGTTTCATTGTTTTCTCTCTTAACTATGCTAATCATGACTATTATGTCACTCTGCTTGGCTATCTTCTTCCATGCAGGTCTCTCTTTCTTTTTTCGTTCGTTTAAAATAGAGCCAAAGTAGAATGTGAATTGTGATGATTATGAATCACGGGGTCAACAGATGGACTTTTAATCATAGAAGTTAAGTATTGCTGCCTTTTCTTCGTTGTGTGTTATTCTGTAGCGTTTGTTGTCGGCACAACATTTGTACCTTTTTTTTATCTTACTGATGGCTTGTGCTTTTTTTTAGACGAAGAGACTTCAGGTCATAACCTGTTCATCGCTCTGTACTTTGCAGGTGGTTTTGTGCTTCATAATGACTTCGCTGTTTATTTCATATATGACAAATATTAAGTGTTGACTATTCGCTGTTAGTCTTTGTGATATTTATAATATAGTAGGGAGCTTGAGAGACTGTTTTATAGGGGGTTCTTCATCGAAATTGTGAGTTGGAGATGGAGGCTTATAGTTTTGGCTCTCAAGAACGTTGGCTTGCCTGTTAATTTACAACCCGTTCTATTGATGTTGGGTTCTGTGATTATTGCGTTGGTGAGGATTCTCAAGGAGGAGCTGTTGATCTATGGTTTATTTCGGCATTGGACTTGTTGTATCTAACTATTGTTTATTCAATTATCTTGGATTACAATTACCAAAATAATTGACATAGATCACATGAAACACTCTTTAACACAGAACCTTCGGATCTAAAAAAAAGAGATAATGTAACCTTTCTATTTTGAGATTGTATCACAAATCCCAGCGCGGAGCGCGAATGTGAAAAATAGTACACATAAAGATGATAATAACAATTATTATTTTATATGCAAATATATGATGTGTGTGTCTATACATAAGCATACGCAAAGAAAAAGAAGTAAAGAAAATGAAATTAAAAGAAATAGAATCGGTCTGGGATAAGGCCGCCCACCATTTCAGCTATTTATATATTTTCGTCCCAAACCCCCATATTCCATTCTTTTTCATTCTCTGGACCGAGAGACACAGAGCGAGCAGAGGGCGCTCAGGAGAGGCGAGGGGGAAAATCTCAAAGCTCAATTATTGAGCCCTAGTGATCTAAAAATCTCGTAAGTAACGCATAATCCATCTATACATGGTAGTTTATTGATTTAGAGCTTTAAAACTAGTTTTTGGTTTAAGAATTTCTTGAATCCTCGATAAGCAAATTAGGATTTTGAAGTATCCGGAAGCCGGATTGATGTTAGATTTCATATACGAGCTTCCTGTAGCGAGGTAATTATTCCTCTTGTTCTAATCCATGAATTTCGGCAATATTTAGGCCGGGGTCCAAATCGCTGAATTTAGCTCCGACTAGGGTTTGATGTGTTTTTATCGAGAATTTGATCTGGATCCTAGAACTAACATTGACGGGGACACTATATGGGATACTAGGACAGTTCTGAATTTTGATTCTGGGTTCGTTCGTGAAATGGACGTTTTAGTACGAGAAGCTAAAATCGGTGTTTGAATGACCAGAACTGGTGAGGGATTAGCACGGTATACCGGG